GAATCACCTGGATTAATACTGACTGAGCCTCAGGGATTCCTCAGGACTCTCCTCTGTACAGACAGACACACAGGAATCACCTGGATTAATACTGATTGAGCCTCAGGGATTCCTCAGGACTCTCCTCTGTACAGACAGACACACAGGAATCACCTGGATTAATACTGATTGAGCCTCTGGGACTCATCAGGACTCTCCTCTGTACAGATGTCCTCTGTCATCCTTCCTTGCCCAGTATATTCATACACTTACTTCTCTCCCCAGTAGAAGGGTCCACACAGAAGACCGACTCCAGATCTTCAATATATCTCTGAGTTTCAGTCCTGTTTCTCTCGGTTTCATTCCTGAGTCTCTCCAGTTGTCTGTTCTTCTCCCTCAGGTGGATCTCGCAGTCTCTGCTGGTCTTCCACACTGCACATCACACACACACACACACGCCCCACAGAGCCCAGGTCACTCATCCTGCACTTGTTCAGCCATTTTCTACTGGTCAAACTCATTGTGTGTCACACACAAACCAGAATTTAACGAATGTAATTCGCCATTTTAAGCATTTCTGGCTGTCCATCATATGTTGCACAGCTGTGGGAACAAGTGAACACGTGCTTGATCAGTTTTGAATGAACATGCAGTAAAGTAGTGTTTAACTACTTTTTTTAAGTCCAAGAGCCCAAGTGATAACTAGAAGAGCTGTGGAGAATTTGAGTAGCAACTTATACAGTAGCTGTGCTGGATACTGTTCATGTATTTGGCCAAATAGGTACAGTACATGCCAATATCTTCCAATTCTCTCTTTCCTTCTGCTCTTATTGGAAGTGACCCAAGCATGGATCTACTTATCTATATAATTTTGCTCCCTTGGCACCTGAACTGGAACTGGAAAAATGTAAGAACTAAAGAAAATCACAAATGGGATAAGAATACAAGTCAATGCAATTCAATACACTAAAAGAATACCTGTCAATGTATTTAAGGATCGCAAAAAGTAATTACATTAATATTTGCCTGAAAGAACATCAAGAGCTGCTACCTTTCTAATGTCCTGTTAATGTCCTGTTAATGTTTCTGCTTTTTGTTTTTGAGGGTGAACTTAAGAACATATTGAGAATTGTAGAGTATGATTTGACTGTGAAATTTTGACTGAAATATTAGGAGACCGGCTTGTACCTGCTGAAGAAAGATTCTTGTTTTTGACTTGCGAGTGTAAAACCACAAACTATCGCTGTTATGTAGCTCAGGCCCTACAGGAAAGTCGCCACGGCAACAGGGCCTCAACCTACAGACCACAGTGGCCATCTGGCCTGATACAGCTGCACTCCTGCTT